CCTTCCTGATTCTCCTGGTCACTGGCTGTTCTGGTGCCAGTTTTCTATTCTTGGGGTTTGTTTTGTTTTTTCTTTTCTCCTAGACTTTCGAAGTTGGACTGCTGCAGCAGCTAGTCATTAAATGTGCTTTTGACCCGCCAAAATTGTATCTTCGGCCCCCTTGCTCCCTCTGGCCTTCAGACTCGTTTCACCATCTCTATTCAACATTTCCACTTAGAGGTAAAACGTCCTGTTACGGGACTGGAGAGATGACTCCGTGATTAAAAGCATGAGCTGCTCTTGCAAAGGACCAAGGTCCAGTTTCCATCAGTCATATGGAGGCTAACAACCATCTGTAACTCTAGTTCCAGAGGATCTGATGCCCTCTTCCAACCTCCTCGGGCATTGTACGACATGGATGTGTACTTACATACGTGCAGGCAATATACTCATACACACAGAGTAAAATAAATAACTTTTTAAATCTTTTAAGTCCTATCACATTTAAAACAGTCAGAGCTCTCAGTTTCTCCCACAAAACCTGCTCCCCAGCCACCCTCAGTTTCTCATGACAAGGTCAGCTCAGGCCCAGAGCCTGGCTTCATCCCTGGCCTTCCCTCACATCCTACATCTTATCCCCATCACATCCATCTGATCCGTCTCCCGATACATCTGGGGCTTTCCCCTTTTTACCAGCCCTTGTGTTCTTCATGTCTTGCTGGTCTCCTTGCTTCCTCACTCCTTAGGCTGACCATTCTAAGACCAAAGTAGACACTGGGCACTCCTCCCATCTTGAGGCTAAGGAGATGCCTCACCAATCAGAGTAGTTCCATAGTGGCTGTCTTACACTGGAGAGGCTGAGAACCCAGGAATTGCTTAGGCCATGGGGCTCAGTGCCTCAGCAGTTCCAATGAGCCAAAACCGGGAAGGTTCCTTAGTCAGCGAGTAAACTGGAAAACACTGGTTCTGGTGTTAGACGAGGAATCAGCCAGAACCAACAGGACAACTCAGCTCAGTGGGGAGGGGCAGGCCAAACACGCAGAAGGGAAGCTGTTCCTTCTGTCGTGCCTCTTTGTATCTTGGCTGTACCAGAACGTGCCACAACATTTGGGATGGGTCTTCCTACATCAGCAAATGCAGTTAAGACAGTTCCTCAAGTGAGGTGCCCTGTTCACGTGAATCTAATTTGTGGCAGGTAGCCATTAACAGCAACCATCACAACTCATCACCACGTGTATTTGTTTGAGGGTGATTTTTTTCCCCCATAGCCTTCTGAAGTATAAGGTCCCCGAGGGACTTTCCTGTTTGACCATACCAAGCACACGTTGTATATTGTGAATATTTTGGAACTGTACTAATGAAGTCACATAACAACTGTTTTAATTTCAACAGCTCACGTTGGTCCCCCAGCAGTGCATTTAGAAGCTGAAGATAAGGCAATAGTAATATACATCACTCGTCCTGGAAAAGGTGGTAACATGTGGGCTCTGGATGATTTGGGGTTCACATACAGCATAGACATCTGGAGCAACTCTTCAGGTGTAGAGGTGAGTGTCTAGTTTACCCTTTTTTTGGTATGAGAGAAAAAAGGGTTCAGTTAATTATAAAATTTAACTCTATACCTTTTTGAATTTCTTTCTTTTTATAGAAAACGGTTAAAACTAGCTATCTCACAGATAAGATTTTTAGCCTGTTACCAGAGACTACCTACTGTTTAAAAGTTAAAGCAGTACAGATTGGGCTTGGGAGACATGGTGCCTATAGTCCAGTGCATTGTATAAACACCACAGGTAAGGAAGATCTTTTACCTTAGATTCACTCACTATGTAATGGCAGTACTTTTACCTTTTACCTTAGATTCACTCACTATGTAATGGCAGTATGTAAATTTCTTGACATTTTTCCCTGTAATTGCTGAACCATTTTGTGTGATGAAATTGTATTATGTTTTAATAGGTATTAAAAATAGGGCCGGGCATGGTGGCACATGCCTGTAGTCCCAGTACTTGGGAGACAGAGGCAGGTGGATCTCTGTCAGTTCAAGGCCAGCCTGGTCTACATAGTTCCTATGTAATGGCAGTATGTAAATTTCTTGACATTTTTCCCTGTAATTGCTGAACCATTTTGTGTGATGAAATTGTATTATGTTTTAATAGGTATTAAAAATAGGGCCGGGCATGGTGGCACATGCCTGTAGTCCCAGTACTTGGGAGACAGAGGCAGGTGGATCTCTGTCAGTTCAAGGCCAGCCTGGTCTACATAGTTCCAGGCCACCTGGGGCTACAGGGAGACGCTGTTTCAAAAAGACCAAAAAAACAAAAACAAAGCATCCGGCAGGGGATGTAGGTCAGTGGTTAAGCACTTGTACTTGCGCAGCGTACACAATGCCATGAATTTAATCAGGAAGTATAACAGCACTTACATAAGCCAAAGAAGTTTTTTTTGAGATTTTTGTCTCAGTGCTAATTAAAATTAATACTATGCCTATGCTCTGCTAAAAAAAGAAAGGAAGGAAGGAAATGATAGGTGTCTGGATAGATAGATGAGAGGGATCTGACTAGACCACAAGTGGATGGACTTGCAGTGGGGAACGTCTGGGGACACTGACTTGACACAGTGGGCCTTAACACCCAGGACAGAGTATATGGGTCCCAGTGGGGGCCTATGGGAGGGTGCTGGTGGGGATGGGGCTATAAAGATGATTCAGATTGTTTAAGATACTCTGTATTAAATACAACAAAATTTAATAATAAATTTTTTAAAAATAATAAAATTAATACTACTTAAAAGTTCAATTTTTTCTTAATCTTTTTGAGACAGTGTCTCCCTGTAGCCCCAGTTGGGGCTACACTATGTAGACCGAGTTGGCTTTGAACTCATAGAGATTTGCCTGCCTCTGTTTCCCAAGTGCTGGGATTAAAGATGTGCACCACCACACCTAAGAGTTCAAATATTTTTTTAAATACTATTTTAATTTTATGTGTATGAGTGTGTGGCCTACATGTATATAAGTGCACCCATGTCATGCAGTGCCCACAGAGGTAAGAAAAGGATGTCAGATACCCTAGATCCCACTGGAGTTATAGATGGTTGTTAGCCACCGTGTGGGTGCTAGGAACCGAATTCGGTTCCTCTGCAAGAACAGCCAGTGCCGTCTCTCCAGCCGCAAGAGAGTTCACATATTTTGTAAATGTCATGCACTTTTTATTTTTCATAATACCTAGAAGGAGGTAGTAGTTTCGGCAGATTGGTTGCTATTCCAAAAGCATAGCTCTGTAGGCAAAATATGAAAACAGCCTGATATAGTCAATCACTGATAGCTTACCAATAACTAAAGTTATTGTGAGAGCTGGCTTGTTGGTGATTTTAATGACAGATTTAGTGTTTTGTCACTTAACAATATGGGGAAGTTTTCATCTCATTCACTAGATTAAAAATGTGTATGTTTTAATGGATTCTTTGCCTTCTAGTGGCAAATAAGATGCCTGCACCAGAAAATGTGAAAGTATATGCTGACAGTAAGAACTACGTTCTGACATGGGATTACACATACACAAACGTCACCTTTAAAGCTCAGTGGCTCCTGTAAGTTCTTGTCCATAAATTTCCTTTTGCCCAATTACCTTGGACTTGCTTTAGCGTTGTCTGTGTGCAGCTTCTTGCACATAAAATAACGTGGATGTGCTATATTGGGAACTCCAGAAATTAAACCAGTAACTACTTAGATAGCCTCGGGCTCAGCACTTACACTCTGGCCTCAGTTTCTTCTTTTGTCCTAACATCTGCCTGGTTCTTTCTGGTGTTCTTTAAACTTAAGAAGCCTTCCCTCTCTTACCTGTGTCATTTTCTCAGTCTGGAATAGCTGACTCTTGACCCTGACATGTTCCTCAGAACTCAGCTCTTTCATAAGATTGAATTTACAGTCCATCTCCTTTTTGAGACCCGTCTGTTCGGTTCTTGAGTCCATTTTTAAGTGGTTGTTTGGTTTGATGGTGTTCAGCTCCTCATGTGTCAGTTCCTCCTCTGGATGTATGGTTTTCTAGTGCCTCCTCCTGTGGTAGCATCATGTCACACTCCTGTCCATTCCTGTCCTGTTTGCTTTGCAGCTCTCAGTCCCTCTAAGGAAGACCAGGCAGCCTGATCTTTCTGTTACACTCAAATAGGAACACCAGACTTGGCTACAGCAGTGATTATTTAATTTCATTGTTAGTGCTCTGTTTATTCCTTTGTTAGGAGGATGGCTGCTGGTCTACTTTACAGTCTCAGCACCGCTCTGTCCAGTTTCTTATCTTTGAGATCTATCAGCTATGTGATCAAGATGAACGATGTATGTTTTACTGGTGATAGGCATGTGAAAAGGTATAAAGATCTGGGGTTTGATGGAAGTAGTTACAGTGCAGCTTCAGATGGGAAAATGTGTTTATCCCACGTGAGAAAAACACCAAACAAACACACAGGCAGCAATTCACTTCTGCATGCTGTGATTCACAAATTAGTGCGGGTTTGTTCTCAGGAGCTTGATTTGCTAGCAGAGAGAAGAATACTGGAAAGATGGTGATTTACCTCTCTCAGTAGCCTCACGCAGCCATGCTTTGCGCCTTTGTTGCCGGAGCTGTGCAGCGTGCTGATGCAGCCTGCTTTTTTGAATGTTTGACTGCCCAGTAATCTTAGGCCCTAGGAGAGTTTTTCTCAGAGTCAAATCTCCTTTGAGGTTAAAATCAGAATTCAGTTACTGTTTGGTGGAATTAAAATTGGACATTCATTTCTTCAAAATAATGTAAATGGTAATATGCACAGTTTTTAACACCTAACAGCTGTGTAGCCCTGCTATTTGTTCTCAGGTAAAGGGCCTCTTTCATTTTTTTCTAAAGGATCCATTTACCCCATCCTGACTAATCATATGCATATGAGTGTTATATTGATTGGGACAATTTATAATGCTTTTTGTGTTTAATGGTGCCTTAAATTTTTTTTTTTTTTTTTTTTTTTGGTCTTTTTGTAATAGAGTCTCCCTGTATCCCCAGCTGGCCTGGAACTCACTATCTAGACCAGGCTGACCTCAAACTCACAGAGATCTGCCTGCGTATGCCTCCCAAGTGCTGGGATTAAAGGACAGGTGCCTTAACTATTGCCTCTCTATACATTGAAAACCATATTAGACAGTGCCACAGTTTTTGCTTTTAACTTTTAAATAACAGCTGTAACTGGATTTTAATTTTTTAAATATTTTTAGTTGGCTTGCAAAATAATGGGTTTTGTTATGACATTTTCATACATGTGTACCGTTGTGCTTCACTTTTCTTCTCTCCCCCCATACTGTTCCATCTCCCCACTCCCTTTGGACCTCTGCCTCTCCCCAAATAGCCCTCCTTCTGCTTTCATGTCATGCACACACATAGGTACTTAATCTAGACCCACATGTGGGAGAAGACATGCAGTATTTTGTATTTCTTAGCTGTCACCCTCTCGTCCCCCCCCCCAGCCCTTCCACACCTCACACAGTCCTCTTCTGCTTTTATGTTTTGTGTATGTGTATTTAAATCTAGATTCCCAGTGTGCTATTTGTATTTCTGAGTCTGGCTATTCAGTTAACATGATGATCTCCAGTTCCATCCATTTTCCTGTACATGACCTCATTTCCTTGTCTACAACTGAATGAATCTCCATTGTGTGTTTGTGCGCGCACTCGTGTGTGTGTGTGTGTGTGTGTGTGTGTATGCGCGTGTGTGTGTGCGTGTGTGCATGTGTGTGTGTGCGCGCATGTGTGCATGTTGATGGTCATCTACACTGGTCCCTTGTCTTAACTGTTGTGAATAGTGCTGCAGAAAACATGAATGTGTCAGTGTCTTATGCTGTATTGACTTAGATTCCTTCAGGTGTTACGCCAAAGAGTAGTACACAGGTCATGCGGTATTTCTCAGTTTTTTGAGAAACCTCCACATTGATTTATTTCCATAGTGACTGGATCAGCTTACATTCCCACCAGCAGTATGTAAGGAAATGCATGTGAGAAAAATCAGAGGTCTATGAAAGACTGAAAATTGGCAGGTGAGGAAGGGGCGTTCGTTTTCTGTTGCCCTGTAGAAATCACCAGACTTATGAGATGAGGAATGGACTGGGAAGTAGCTCAGTCACCAGGTCCTCGCTTCACGAGCATGAGCACCTGAGTTGAATCTGAAGAATTCATGTAAAAACACCAGAAGTATGGTGCTCACACTTTAATCTCAAGCTGGGGAGGCAGGAACAGGCAGATTTCTGAGACTCGCTGGCCAGCTAGACTAGCCTAACTGGTGATTTTAAAGATTGGAAATAGCTGTTTTGAGGAAATAGCTGTCTGCTGGGGAGCTTTGGGAGGGACAGCTAGGGAAATGGTTTACTGCTGGCTAAGACCACTTACTGAGTTTGAATACCCAGCGCACGTGTAAAAAGCTGGAACCGCTGGGGTTTGCTGGCTGCCAGCCTCGCTCCAGGTTCAGTGAAAGACCCTGTCTCAAGTGAGTAATGTAGAGACTGACAGCAGGACACCTGATGTCTTCCTCTGTCCTCTGACCACACATGGAGCACACACAACTGCCCACACACATGTGCATATACCATACACATACCCACTCACACACTGACTCACCACCCACACACCAAAATATAATAAAAGAAATCCTGGTTTTTATCATAGCACTTCTGTGTCATTCCAAGCTTGGCCTCACTGAGTCCTCTGCCAAGCCATCAGGTGTCACTGAGATGGTGCTTTCTTCCAAAACTTGGTTTCTTCCCACATGTTCATGTGGTTGTCAGCAGAATTCATTTCTGTCCTTTTTAAATTTACATTTTTATTTATTTATTTTGTGTGTGTGTGTTTGCACATGTGCCAAAGCACACATGGGGAACCAGAGGACAACTTGCAAGAGTTGGCTCTCTCCTTCCACCATTTGGGTCCTGGGGTGGAACCTAGGTTGTCAGGCTTGGTGGTAAGCGCCTTAACCTACTGAACCATCTCGCTGGCCCAGAATTCATTTCTTGAAGCTGTAGCGCTCACAGCAGCATCTCAGGGGCCATCTGGAGTGCAGTCCAGCCTTCAGACCCTATTCTAACCCTTCTTCTGAGAGGTCACGTCCACCAAGGAGAGCTTCATTCATTCACTCAGAATGGTGGGTTGGCCCTTAGCTGCACCTTTAGAGTCCTCTCCTCCTTGTCAGGTACTGTACCCGGTCAGGACGGGAAGCATCCAGCATGTCTTCTGGTCCTGCCCACAATTGAGGGAGGGGATTAACTGGGATGTGGGAAGTGTACACCAGAGGGCAGGAGTCTTAGGGTGTCCTAGAATGTCGCCCGTCATAGTAGGAAGGGTGTCCTTCTAGAAGAGCAGGACTTTTGGACATGGAGACATGATTTTTTGTTTTTGTTCTTGTTGTTTTTTAAAAATATTTTTATTTATTTTGTGTGTATGAATGTATTGCCTACACGTATGTAAGTACACCCATGGCATGCAATACCCACAGAGGTCAGAAGAAGGCGTTGGATCCCCTGGAACCAGAGTTAAGGACAGTTAGCCACTGTGTAGATGCTGGGAAATGAACCCAGGTCCTCTGCAAGAGGAGCCAGTGCTCTTAACCACTGAGTCATGTCTCCAGCCCCTAAGTGATTTTTTTTTTTAAGTTGAATGATAAGGACGGAAGATTGGCTGTCTGTCTTACAGGTATTTGGAACCAGTGTAATTGTGTGCTGAGGGATAAATGGCATGAGGTCTGTGTTTGGGAAGGTGTATGTGACTAAATTCACTGTGGGGTACTTTGCTCCAGTGACACCAAGTGCAAGGAAAGCCATTAGGAGGCTCAGTTCTGAGCTTACACTGAGATGCTTTGAGCTGTTGCTGTCTGAGCCAGTTATTTAGCCTCTCTAGAGTCGGGGAGGTGCCCACACTTGCTGGAGACTTCTCGGTAAGATCAGTACTATGACCCTTTTGCAGCAGTGTGTTGGTACAGTGACAGGCTTTTCAGATGGGCAAGCCCTACTTGTAGTTGTTAGGCTTCAAGAATCAGTAATAATTCCCACAGATACCCAAAAAGATTATACAAAAGTTTATTTAAGAATTTAAAGTAAAAAAAAAAAAGACAATAACCAAATGGCTGCTAGCCGGGCACAGACTTCACAAGCCAAATATGGAGTCTGGCCCCGAAAAAAGCAGGTAGGAGCTTTTACTGGGGCACTCCATAGAAACCCACGCACGCCAAGCATTTTTTTTAAAATAATTGGATGTCCCCATATCCTGTGTACGGGGAAAGTCTTAATTGGATGTCCCCATATCCTGTGTACGGGGAAAGTCTTAATTGGATGTCCCCATATCCTGTATATGGGGAAAGTCTTAATTGGATGTCCCCATATCCTGTGTACGGGAAAAGTCTTGATTGGTAGGGGCTGTCTTCAGGGCATTGGAATATGCTGACTAATATCTTTTAGAGTCAGAAGTTGTTGTTCATACCTTATAAGGCTTTTACATGTACAATAAGCCTGATCTTGTCTGGGCTTGTCTAAAGAAGCTAGCCAAAATGGAGTCAGAGCATTCTGGCTCTTCATTCCCCCCTGGAGTT